AAAGATTAGAATTTAATGGCTGTTATGGATTTTTCACCCCCTTAGAGAATTTCTGCAAAATTCAATTATTTTTGGAGACTGCTTGAGTTTATATCTCACAGTGATGATGAATTGCCTATTGTACTAGCCAACTTAAAAACAATACACAAAAATCAATTTTTTGACAGAAGCAAAGACACAGAGAATCCAGGATTGGCTCAGACTGCCTTTGTCCCGAGTTTAGAAATGAGCTTATTTTAATTACTTTGCCTTTCTAAACCACTTTCTGTAGCAGCATCTGATTACATTTCAGCTGTTTAGGTTTCCTGTAGAGATTGACTTTGCCAACAAGACAATTTGCCGTCAAGAAATTGTAATTAACTTAATGAACTCTGTCTTTTAAACTGTTGGAGATTTTAGAGCTAAGAGTAATGATATCACAAGTATCAAAGAGTTTTATTTTAAACATACATATTCAGTGCCAGATATAAGCAATTTGCATGTTAACATTTTCAAGCTCAGATGTGACAGTGGTATTTAGGATTGCTGCCTGTCTAAAGTAAGAATAATATTACCCATCAAATAATAGCTTTAGAAATAACAATAAATAACACTGAAAATGGAATTTAGGTAATGCCTCTTATAACCAACAGTTTTACAGCTGAAATCTGCTAATAAAAGAAAAATGTTGCACCAGACCAGAGCAAGTGTCCTTCCGTGAAGCCCTGAAATGTAGTTTGAAGCCAACGTTTCATTCTGTCCGTGAATCTACAAACAGATTATATCACATACTTTGGGTTGAGTAGCATATAAATTGTCAAGAAAAAATATAGGTAGCCTGAAGCTACCAATAAAAATTGTTGTACTGCCAAATGCTCAGGCTTTGTGAACCAGCTGATCTTCCCCCTCTAGAAGTATTTTCATATTAATCTCATGCTGAACAAATCAAAAAGTATTGCACAGTAAAAATATGACTTTGCGCAGTGCTGTGATTTTACACAGCAAACACTCAACCTGTTCTCATCCCTAGACGATCAGATGTTATGGTTTGGGGTTTTGTGCCCTAAACTTCTCAGCAACCTTGAAGCAAACCAGGACATTTCATGGGGTGTGACACTGAGCAGCAACCATGGAAATACTGCTGTAAGAGATGCAGCGTGCTCTCCCTCCAAGAAAGGCTGATAATATTGTCCACAGAAGTCCCAGATCTTTGTCTCTAACTTCATTATACGAGGAACACTGGCTCTGAACACAATTTCCTATACAATATCGCCAGTGCAAAAGGCATGGCATAAATATTTAACATCTAGCTTCTTGAGAAAGTGGCCACTGTGGTTCGTTCCCGTTGGTGGGCAGATGCAGCCCTACAGCTAGATGTGTAATTTATCCTGCCTTAGAAAAGTGGCTTACAGGACCGTCTCAGCAGCATAGCCCACACACCTCCACGTCGTTCTGAGGCAGGTATGACCCTCATCACCTGTCTGGGGGTCACCTTTCTACTGAGAAAAAAAAAAAACACCACCAACCTGCTGAGGAAGAGTGAATGATACATCTCTGAGAAGTAAGGCATGCATGGTGTGTGTTGAAATTGCAGTGCCAGCTTGCCAGTTTTAATGGGTGACCTCATCTCAGGCACTTTGAAAAGACTGTTTTCAAAAGGCAATCAACATTTCCTGAGAAAAATCAGTTTCCTGACAAGGGGTTCACACTGGGTATCTCTCAAGAAAGAGCTACCTTACGTGGCTTAGGTGAAGAGAATTGTCAAAGTGTGGGTTTTTAATTTGAGGATGTCAGCACTTATTACTTCTCTGTTTTGGTTGGTTTTTTTCTTATTATTGCCAATATATTTTTGAGTTTAGGAAAAATGTTCCTGTTTTGAATGTCACTCCATGGATCTCCTGCCAAAACACACATACAGTTATATTATCACTGAAAAGCAAGGAAGTGAAATCTTGAAGCTCTTACTCACTTGAGTAATCTCACAGAGCCAAAGCAGTGGGATCAAGCTCCTGATTACGTATCCCTGAAAGGCATTTTGTTATAATGCTCCTGAATATCTCCACTGAGGCCCCTCCACCACCCTCTCACGTTATCAGAGCTTGGCAACCACCGATGAAAACACTGTAGCTCTGCAGAGGAGCCGCACAGAGCGCGGGGTTTCCGTTTGCTCCCTGCCTGCAGAGCTGAAGGAAGAGCTACTGCTGAGAGTCCCCATGCAGCCACCACACTGCTCGCCAGCTATTTATAGAGAAAATTTTCCCCAGTGGTTTTCATACTGGGGAGTTACGGAGAGGAAGCACTGAGCAATTCCTAATCTCGCCAAAGGTAGAAACAAAAGTTTTCTCATTATCTGCAGCTGCTGCAGGATTAGGGTCTACTATAATCTATATTTTAGGCTGGATATAAGGAAGAAATTCTTTACAATGAGGGTGGTGAAACACTGGAACGGGTTGCCCAGAGAGGTAGTGGAGGCCCCATCCCTGGAAACATTCAAGACCAGGTTGGACAGGGCTCTGAGCAACCTAATCTAGTTAGTGGTGTCCTTGCTCGCTGCGGGGGGGTTGGACTAGATGACCTCTAGGGGTCCCTTCCGACCCAAAACTTTCTATGATTCTATGATTCTATGAAGTCAATTAATCTCCCTGTGTTAAACGTCTCTGGCTGTGACCAAGGAATGTTATCCTGGTCTTCTCTAGTTAGACAAGGATGTTTGCAACACAGGTTATGTCACCCACAGGACAGGAGAGCATCCTGGGATGGCTCACTATGAGCTGTAACAATTCAGTAATACTCTTTGGTTAATTGCATTTAATTTGGGCTGTGGGAAGTTAGATTTTTATTAATTTTTCCATGTCTTTGTTCAATCAGATGCCTGTTTCTACTGAATATATTTATAGTTGGACTCTAATGGACAGCTGGGCAGGTGCTTTGTGGTTGTGTTTTGCTGATGGCTTTGCACAAGAGTCTCTTTGGGATCAGAAATCACCCAAAGATTTCCCTTCCCTAAAGCGCTGTCTGCTGCTCTAGTTGCTTGTCCGCTATGACCAGAAAAAAACCTGTCCCAAAAAGGAGCATTATGGTCTACATTTCATTATGCACTGATACACCAGAGAAGAATATTCTTCCTCATCAATGTGGCTGCAGTTTTTGTCTTTAAAAAAAAATAATGCCAATAATCCATACAGTCATACCCTAGCCAGCATCCCTGCAAAACCAAGTCACACTCTAACAAACAGTCAAGTCCCCATGCTTAGAGACGATTTCTGCCACAGAACATTTCGCTGAAATGTTTGCTTGCAGGACTTTGGGCTCACAGCCTGGTCTGTTTTCTCTTGAACCTGGGAGGCTGTGGGTATTTACACATTCTGAGTAAAATTCAAAATCTAGTGAATTCACCAGCATGGTCCTGATGGCCTCAGATTGCAGATCTTGGTTCTTCAAAAAGGAGTCTTGGAAAGGGAAACAAATGGAAGCAGGAGCCAGCAGAAATGTGTATGCGTGAGAGAGAAGGAGGGAGAAGGCTGTGAATTTAACTGACTGTGAATGGGGCTCCTTGTAGTAGCTGAAGTCAGGCAAGGAGAGACAGGCTAGGATCGCCTTCAGTTCATAACTCCAGCAAAGTAACTAAGGACCAAGCCAGGAGATGAGGTGCCAGGGCAGCAGGTACTGGGAAGGAGACTGTCACACCTTCTACTTACCAATTCTGTCCAGCCTGTCAAGAGCCACAGTTTCAAAAGCTCGCCGCATCATGGGATACTCTTCCAGCACCTCATTGAAGTTGTCCACTGAGAGGGAGTAGAGACGGCAGTAGGTATCAGCTCGCACGCTGGCTGTGCGCCGGCCACGGGTCAGCAGGCAAATTTCTGGAATCAAAGACCCAGCCTGAGAACATGGCGACAGACATCATCATCCCTGCGATACAAGATCTGGCACTGTCGTTCGTGGGCCGTCCTGCCTGCCACCCAGTCTCCTCGGTAGCTGGACTCTACCTGCACTCCCACTCAAAACAAACAGTGGTAATATTCTGCATATGCAGTAACATTTAAAAATACCAGGGGGCTCAGTTATGGCAGCTGCTACACACAATTGCACCTCAGGGATACTGCTGATCTAATTAGCCAGCCAAGTTTTGTTATGGTGGATTATCAAAGATATCATTTGTGCATTCAGAATGGAGAAGCTGTCTTTCTCCAGCTCCTCATGGGCACTGGGAGCAGAAGGTCAAGCCGTGCTAGCATTGAGGCTAATTCTCTCTCTAGATTTGTAGCAAAGGCTCTGTGCTGACCTGGGGCCTTGGTGCCTGGTAGTAATTTTGATCCCCACACCCAGAATATTTGTCTTTTCAAAATTTTCAAAGTTTTTTGTCAATGTGCCAGGAGCTTACAGGTTCTCAGGGAAAACCAAGTTAGTGGCGCCTATTAACCCTTGGTGTATTTACACTGCAATCAGCTACTCCTAGGAGGATGCTCAGCTGGTTACAGAATAGAAAGCCCTTGACTCTACCTTGACTCTACCACAAATGCCTGGCTTGGGCACAGACGCTCCTTGAACAGTCAGTGGAGAGCTCCTGACTCCTGCTTTTCCACTGATTACACACAGAGTATGGGTAGCTAAGACAGGAACTTACAGACAGACAGTGTGACCTAAAGACTGACAGCACTTTTCTCTCTGCTGTATGTTGGGTGTCAATCCACCAGCACCATTCTCAGGATTCATTCTGGGTCTACCCCAGCACTGGTATAGCAGCACTAAAAGGTTGTAAGTGCATTATTAGGCTGCTTTCCTAAGAAAATGATGTTTATGAGACCGTGCCAGCTTTGAATGTGTGTGAGGAGTTGTGTGTACGGTATCTAAAACACACTGAATGTCATGCGCAATCCTGACTCTGATGCTGTAACTCCAAATCCCAGCAAACTGACCCAGCTTGCTAGGGACGTGCAAAATCCTTGTACTCCAAGTAGGTGCAGACAGGTTGTTTCACAGGAACTAAGAGTCTAAGAAGAATGTAGGAAATGCATGACAGGGATTTTTTAATAGAGAAAAGGCCTTATAGAAGGGAAGGAAAGGCAGATTTCATTCTGCCTCCTTTCAGTAGGCCAATGATTGTGGTGCATTCTGTGCTTGTACTGAAACATGCTTCTACCAGAGAACTGTCTGTCTTGGGCTGTCAGTGGGGTCTCTAGAGCGCTCTGATAGGAGGGGTGTCTCTGTGTTACTCATAAAAGCAATATCCTAAATCTTCTCTTACAGTCTTACTAGTCTCGTACTAGTTTCACTGTTCCAGAGCTCTGCTGCTGATACATTATGCCTGCCTCCTGACCTTCACAATACTCTGCTGAGCCACAGGCTGGGGAGATGATGGACTATGTTTTTTTCTCCATGTTTATGTCATATCCTCATATGATAGATGCCAGACAGCAGGACTAGGCAACACCATAGATGTACTTGGAGAATTGAGAATGCTCCATTTTTTTCCTTTAGGTTCTCAGCTTCACAGATCTGACAGTTTGCTTGGGGCAAAAGGAAATGAACTTACAAGAAGTAAGTTTCCCTTCTCTGTTTTGTTGTTATTTATTAGCTAGAGTCCTGCACTGCCCACCAGTCACAGTCACCTCCCACTGCACAATTTACTATATGGGAAGCTGCAAGACAGGTGAGATGAACAGAGTCAGAGGGTGGTGGAGGAGGTGCCTGGGGTATCAGTTCCATATGCTGCCATCCCTGTGTGTCCAGGACTTACCTTGTCCTGGATGCAGTGTGTATTGCTATGTAAGGGCAACTCACTAACACGCACCTCCAAAGTAGGAGCCATCTGCCAGCTTGGTCTCCTTATTGCCTTTGGTGAGGACGCTCACCACCCCGTGCTGGATGAAGTACATCTTCTTGCCAATGGTGCCCTCCCGTATGATATAATCCCCAGGCTGAAACACCTCGAACCGCAGCTTGGTCAACATAGAGGTCACAAAGTTGGGATCTGCATTGGCAAAGAGGGGCATGGAGGCAACCAGCTTCCGGCAGTTGAAGTTTATGATTTCCTGACCATGATGTGATGCAAAAGGGAGAAAAAGAAAGAGAGAGAGGGAAGGGGGAGAAAAGATGGGACAGGGAGCAGAAAAGACACACACATATATTTAGTCAACATCTAATAAACTATGAAGATCCCCCACCTGACCTCTACATTAGAAAGTGGGGGAAAAAAAAATGCCGTTCCCTTAGTTTGGCTCCTCCAGCACAGGCTGGAATAGGCACTGGATGCTCAGAGCACATAGCAGTGCGAGCTGAAGCTGACAGCTTGACACCATGCTTCACTGCTTTAACTCATGTGCTTTCTCTTTGAGCAGGGACGATACCCCCCAGCATCCCCAAGACACACAATATACCTCCTTCTGCAGGAAACTTTCATAGCACTGGTGAAATGCTGCATGAAAAGCCCAGGGCTCCTCTCTGGGAAAATGTTATAACTCACCTTGGCAGCCCTATGTTCTCTGTTGCCCCTCCTTGTCAATGAGATATTAAATAGCACAAATGTGCCAAGGCGCTCAGAGAACGAATTATCCTGGGCAGCTGGGGACTGTCAGGAGAGTGGAGGGAGAGGTGCTCACAAGTCACTGAGGCATGGGCTGGATCATCAACCTCAAGTGAAGAAAACCCAGTTCAGCTGTTCAGCTGTCATACAGCAGACAGGGACTGTGCCTCCTTCTGCGGCGTGGTGTCACTCGGAGGGTATGACAGCACTTTCCACTGCACAGGAGCTGCTCTGTGCCACGTCAGCTCAGACCCAGAAAGCGGCAGAAGGTGATATTGAGTAAATCACCTCAGCACAACACTCCCCAGCCAAGCAGGGAAGGAGCATCTTGATGACTGGAGCAGGAAGAAAGAGGGCTGGGGAAGTATCTGTCTCCTCCTCACTGGGGTTCTTTTCACGGTTGCTCTTTGAGACTTTGGCAGAACTAGTTTTAATATCCAGCTGGTAGATCCTCAGCTCTACTCTCTTCCATGGAGGTATGTGACTGGGGGGGAAAGACAGGAGGAAGACTGCTTCTGGTGCTTGTGGGTGACATATTATTAGAGGCAGATACTAGGGAGAACCTGGATTGCTAGGCTTCAGCTAGGGGAGGAGGTTTTCTCTAGAGACTCCTTCCAAGTGTAGGCCCTGCTAGGAGGCTCCTCCTTTCCTTTGACTCCATATGCTGGTACAGCTGACGGATGGGGCACAGATGAGGCCAGCACACCGCACAGAGGTTTACAGAAGTACATGAGATACAGCTTAATATTGGGGAGCACAAGGTGGGAGCTTACTGAGACACTGTACCATGCCGTGGTGCATGTGAGCGTGGGGAGGGAAGGGGTCTTGCAGAAGTGTGCGGTAATAGCAAGGCACTTTCCTGAGTGCTTCTCCTGCAGGGGTTCTCTGGCAATGGGGAGGACATTGCCAGACATTGCCATGGCCTCAGAAGGTGCCAAGATGTACCTATTCACATGCTGAGTCAATGGGGAGGACATTGCCAGACAGTGCCATGGCCTCAGAAGGTGCCAAGATGTACCTATTCACATGCTGAGTGGGTGGCAGGGCCTGCATATTGCAGCCCCCATTGCCTTCATGTCAGACATCACTTGATCACTTGTGCTGCAGCAATTAACAGACTCAGGCAGGAGTCCTACAAATTGCAAAGGCCTGGGTTCCTCTCCCCACAGCAGTGACTTCTGCCATGACCAAGGCAAGGGAATACCAGACATACACCAATGGCTAGGACAGTCACTCCCTCTGAATGAAACTGCCTCTGACAGAGACGTAGCCAAGCTGTTGACCATGTTCTTCTTGGCCTTGCTCTCCCAGAAAGTTAGGCACAGCACAGGAACAGCGCCAAGCAAAATGGGGCCTTTATGGCTGCTCACACACATGGTTGTGCTGTCTTAGCTGGGCATGACATCAGAGCACACACAGAACCAGTGCTAACAGGAAAGCTGGCCTCCCACCACTCCCATCAACTGATGGTGCCCTCTGCAAAGCACTGAGGCAGGAGACGGCACACCAGGAACTCCACAGCTGCCAAAGATGACAGGAACATGCACTGCCCATTCACTGCCCCCTTCTTACCTCTCGGAGCGGCTCACTCAGCTCTCCCAGGATGCTCTCCTCATCAAACATCTTCCCTTGGTAGCGGTGCTCATAGTAATCATGGATGCGCTGCCGCATGTCTGCAGGGAGCTTGTGGAAGGACATATACTGCTCCACTTGTTTGTACTGTGCAGGGGAGACAGGAAGAGAAGGAGTTACCAGGACGCGCAACAAATGGCACCTGCTCATGGACAAGAACATACTAGACCGCACCCACACCGCTTCCTTCACGCCAAGCCAGGCCCAGGCAGATAAATCTGGTTCAGGAGAGAGATATTGTCTGAACACACGGGGAGTTTGCAGGCACCTTTGTTATACTCCCCAACTGGCTGCCCTGTGTTTTAACCTTTTAACTTATCCTCAGCAAGTTACATTGGGTGCTGAGTGGCCCAGGCACCTGTTCTCCCCTACACATACAGCAAAAGCTAGGACCAGAGACGAGTAAGCAGTGCTCAGCTGTGAATCTCCTCTCAGTTAATAACGCTGAGTAAAGACTGTTCAAACCCTGTGCAGAATGAGAGCAAGAAGTACAATGTGCCCTCAGCAGAACGTTTTTCTATGGCACACAGCAGAATGGCCAGGTGGCCCTGGTGTATGACCTGGCAGCTTGGCTCTAGACCAGTAAGTGATGTGCAGCACCTCAAGGCTCCAGCCAAGCACAGGAACCCACTGTACCAGAGGCTGTCCAAAACAGAAGACGACAGTCCTTTCTTGGATGTTCACAGTCACAAACTGAAGGACATACAGAGAAGAATAGACTCGGATGAAGCTGCAGTACCCATGGCCTGCTTTTCCTCTGTTCTCATCTGCCCAGCTACGATGGCACCTTTGCTTTCCCACCTAGCGCTGCACAGGTCCAGATTTTCTCCACCTTTTGCTGGGTCCCTATTGCCCCATGCACTCGTGCTATCTATCTAACCTGTCTGTACTTTTACCTTATGATTTACATTTCCATCATGTCATTTAGAGGGGAATACAAGGGCACACTGACTGATGCCAGAGCAGTATTTGGGGATGAATGGTGCTTTCTGTGAGCAAATGATGCTTCCTCAAGGGCACAGGACTGTAAATGGGTCCACTTGCCTTGAAGGTGCTGCAGGGACAAGGTGTGTGCATTGCAATGGTCATGCTCCCTCCCACTGGTACACCGTACAGAATATGATCCTGAGCATGTACCATACTAAATAATGCTGACAAAAGGAATATGCTCCCCCTTTGCCACCCCTCTTTCACCTCTTCTCCCTGAAAAATCTGTCCCTGAATGTCCCTTTACCACAGCTGGTGCTGAAGTGCCCAATTACCAAACTTCTGCTCATTACAGACCTCCCCTGTACACACCAGTGTCACCCTGCTCCCAGTACAGTCTGTGCTGGCACTGTCTTGCATGCTAACAACTTGATCCGCACCAGAGAGTAGAAGGAATTACTCTAAGAAGCCAAGGTGGCAGAGGGGACACTCGGGGTTTCCTGGCATTTCCAGGGCTTTTTGTCTGTAGCTAGCAGCAGAGGAGCTGGCTGTAAATATTCATGATCCCTACAGCATGATCAAAGTCAAGTGAGTCACCACCTCCCCACAGGGAGCCAGGCAGAGAATTGGCAATCAACGCTGCACTTTATTATTTGGATTGCTCAAGTTCTGTAGAGGCTGGCAGGGCGCTGGGTCAGGCGGCGCTGTGCCGGGTGCTGCACAGAGGCAGCAGCTCATGAATGAGAAAGATACAGGGAGCAGAAACCAATATCTCGCATGTGGACACCTCACTGGTCTGAGCCCATCGAGGATTTTGCAGGTTATGCTCTTAAATGCAGAAAGTTTAAGGCCTTGGCTCAGATGCCTAAACACAGATGTCTACTACCACTGGAGATGCTCTGCAGCATTTGAGACATCCATGGGGCCTGGCAAATTGGACATAGGGCATCCAGCACGTTCACTATGGAAAGGGAAATCATTAGGCACTAGCTTTTGCTGACTCAGATTTATTAAATTTATCCTAAATCCTCAAACAGTTCTGCTTGTTTTAATGCTGTATTTTTGTTGAATAAATTATTTGCCAAAAATACCACCTTATACTCTCAGTTTTAGCCCAGTGTCTTGAGCTGGAACATTGACCAGTGTCACAACATACCTCTCATCACCTGCTGCCAGCCACCTGCCCACTACCCCTCTTCTCTCTACCATAAGCGCTTGAGATCTATCTTCAAATGACATTTGCTTCTTGGGAAAAATACCTCAAGCTTCTCAGATTCACAAGCACAGGCTGGATGGGGCAACTCAGACTCTTTGCTTCTTCACTACTGTACATGGATTTATTGCTTTGTAACAAAGAACAATAAATTACTGCTCTGCAAAGTCCCTAGGGCTTGTCAGATTCTCCTACAATCACTGTCCCCAGATAAGGCTAAACTAAAACCAGGTCAAATATACTTCACCAGTAAAAAAGGTTTGCTTCTGATTACAAATTAAAAACACAGTTATAAAAGAAAGTTGTAAAATAAGAAACCATAATTCTCTGTCACAGTTAACAAGAGGTACACATCTTGGTTTTCCTGTCTTTGCTAGTGCTGCCTCCTCTCACCCATGCCAGCTGGAGAGTTTTGTGGGCTCTTAACTTTGCCTTGTGCAGAGATGGAGTCCTGCAGAGGTGCTCAGAAATGAAAGCATCAGCCCCTTCTCTCTACATTTGATAAATTAAAGATTCATGTGGGGGTTTTCCCCCTTTCCTTGGAGCTGCTTACCCAGGCTGAAGGCCACCACTCTTGCAGTGTCAAGCATCAACAGTGGCTAACAAAAAGGTCACTAGAAAACTGCAGGAGGGCAGGCCTTTCAAAGTGTAGTGGGATGTACATGTCCCTGCTCAGCTCTTAGCCCTGAACGAGATCACTCCTGAGCTCACCAGCAACACTCAGTGATGGGACAAAGCAAAGGGGTAAGGGTGATCACGTGGTGAACATCAACAGCAGAGTGCATGGGGATTAAAGACTTTGCCTGACAACCCTGAATTTACAGGTCTTCCTTTTTCAGCTGAGGCCTTGATATCGTGCAGATATGGCACTCCCTAAAGCCACTTCATGCCCCCTTGCGTTGGCACCCCTTTGTATTCCTTCCGGACGTGGCCAGGCCCAACCTAACAGTGCCCTTTTGCCTCTTTTCTCCCTTGCACTTCTCTGTTCAGTCTTCCTACTTGTCTCCATGTCCTCACTCTGACCTGTGCTCACAGGAACATGCAGAGATTAGTGGCCTCTCCGAGTTCAACTAAAAAGACTCCTTTAGGAATTACTCAAATCTCTCTGAAGACAATCGAGTCCATTTAAATCCTAACTCATTTTCTTAAGTCTGTTTTTCCTCAAATAAGCCCTTGAAGGAGGTATTAATATATCAAACGGAAACCATTTAGCTGAGTATTTTTCCTTCAATAACTGTCCCCTTTCCCTGGCTGTCTCACCACCCCCCTCCCCTTCCAGAAAAGCTCAGATCACTCACAGTCCAAAGGGAACTAAATATTTTTAACTCCTTCCATACCCTCAATCTCTACCATGAATCCTCCTCTCTCTGGCAGCAATAAATCACTGGCTGAAAAGGCTGGACTATTTCCTTGCCCTACTTTTAAATATAAAAAATATCCTGCATCTGAGAAGAGCTGCTCCCATCCCAGTCCTGGCACTGACACCTCTTTGAGTCTTCTTTTGGTCCACTCACGTCACTCTTCAGAGCTTCAGAGCAACGTTGATTTCCATTTTTGCATCTCAGTTAATTCAAACACACACACTTTCACAGTATGCCTACCAACACGGGCACGCACACATAACCTACTGTAATGACGGTACTGGGGATGCTTGTCTCTCTCTATCCAAAGATAAATATACATTTCCTATACAGAACTGTACTGCTTGCACCCTGCCAGAAACAGGCTGAAATCACTGTGGGGCAGAGATTAATCTTCGTCACAGTCTCCACATCTGGACACCATGGAAGTCAACAGAGATGCACTTGTGTAAGAAAAAGGTGAATCAAGCAGAGTAATGCATTTTCAATTCAGTGACAAATTATGGCACTCTGACAGTATTTCAAATGCTGGTAGTATGTATCCTGTGAGACTGGATCAGGACACACATAAGCAGCCACGATGTACAAAGTTGTGGCTCTCTCAAGTGGATTAGTGCTTCATAGAGGTAAAGATCAAGTAATGAGATTCGCCAGATGGAGTGTCTTGATGGGGGACAGTTGCATCTTTATTTTCTTTCCTCTGACCTATGATTAGGAGTAAAACAGTGCAGCTGCCCAGCATTTAGTAATCATCAAAACCAAAGAAATGCTGGGTTCCTTTTTTTTTTGTCTTTTGAGCCATTCATATTCCCATCCTCAGGATTTCTTCTACGATCAGATCTAAATCTTACTCAAAATGATCAACACACACATTCTCATGGAGTCAAATGACTCCACAAGTGAGTGGTTTAAGGGAAGAAAAGTGAAATTTTGTAACATAATCATGCCGACACTGCTGGTTTGATCTTTGTTGGTTTCCCTTTACAGAGCTCCATGCTTGTAGCATATTTAGTGATAGTCCTTGCTCATATAATTTTGCTCTTCCCGAAATTTTGCTGAGAACTGTAACTGGTGCAGGCTACCACATTCTCTCCAGAATGTACCAACAATTATGAATGGAGTTGGCTCTACACACATACTCATGCTCATGAGCACTGTCCTGCTATTTTCCAACAAGAATATAGACATTCATAAAATTAAATGTGCACAGGACCATCTTCTCCACAGCAACAGGAAAGTGATTGAGAGGAGCTGTATTCAGGCATCTGCTGTGCTTTCCTCCAGCCCTGAGGCAGCAAGAGGATGGCCTCACAGACGAGGCTGAAGCAGGAGCTGGATTTCTTTGCAGAAGGAACTGGAGGAAACTCTAAGTGAATCAGTATGTGGAAAGACAGCCGGGGTGCCTGCATGAGAGGAGCGGTAGTGGCAGGGCATCAGAGTGTGCTACAGGCAAATCGTAGCAGGTTGTATAGGAACCGGTGGTTCTTTCAGTGTCAATTCAACCAGAACAACTCAGACCACATCTAGCACAGCACCAAACACGATCAGTGCTACTTTTGCTTTCTGATTAATGAACTAAATTTAAA